GCATGGAATCTGTAAAAACCCTGGCCAAAGCAGTTAATGTGAGATGACTAAATCTGTGCTTGTTTTTCCAAATCGAGTGTGCCAAGCTCTTCCAAAACACCAGAGAATTCAATTGCTTGTTTGACACATCGAGGTACTTTGAACGCTCTTCCAAAACACCAGAGAATTCAATCGCTTGTTTGACACATGGAGGTACTTTGAATGTGGACTTCGTTGGGGTGCTAGGTATGCTTTTCTGAACTGTTCACCTCCAGAATGTCCTGTCCCACTGCTGAAGCTCTGCCTGTCTGTCCCTGCAGAATGACTCCTGGGGGAAGCAGTACTCCTACGCGCTGTTCAAGGCCATGAGCCATATGCTGTGCATCGGGTACGGGCAGCAGGCACCCGTGGGCATGTCAGACGTGTGGCTCACCATGCTGAGCATGATCGTGGGGGCCACCTGCTACGCCATGTTCATCGGCCACGCCACAGCCCTCATCCAGTCCCTGGACTCCTCACGGCGCCAGTACCAGGAGAAGGTAAGGTCTGGGCTCTGCAGCACTGCTGTAGCCTTGGGGTGGCTTCTGGCTGTCTGGAGGGAGCCAGCGCTGTCAGTGACCCATGTGAGAGGCCAAGGTGCAGTTCATTGGTAATTCATCCCCATCCATTCGCTCCAACAGGCCTCAGGAAGAAATAGATGCAAGATCAGGTGAATAATAGTAGGGCAAGTGGGTGATTCTTGTTGTCGCTGCCTGTCTTTTTAGATCAATGTTATCAATGTCACTGGTATCTAAAATTGTAAGTCACTTTTTCCTTTCCGAGATCTTGTTTCAAACCCCAAGTGAATGTTCCAGAATGCGCAGCTTTTTGTTTAGCAAGTACTTTCTTTAAAAGTATCTGGATTATTCACTTCAGTGCTCATGAGTGAAGCTGCAGAACAAACCCCAAAGCACAGCTCACGGTGTGGAGCAGCTTCCCCAGGTAGCTATCTAATTAATTGCACCGTTGTTGAGGTGCATAATGCAGGGCACAGCCAGAAGGGTCACAGAGGATCAGGTGCCACTGCCACAGCAGCCACGGGTGCTGTTGGACTTAAGGTGATGCTGTGAATTTGTAAGGTGGTCAGAGCATCCAAAAAAACAACTGCCCTCACTTACTGGGGATGAGGGTGCCATAGGCAAGGAGGTGTTATGGTCAAGGTCTTACAGACGCATTTGATCTGGAGATTAAGAAGAGGACGAGGTAGTTGTTGGCCCCATTCTGACCCTGCCAGGTGTGGTTAGATTAGGTGAAAGGGGAGCTGTGATTCCAGGGGGGAAACTGGCCAGCATGCACAGGCCAGGTTAAGTAAATGCTAAGATCAGGGGAGAGGTGGAAAGGCCTAGGAACAGGTTTGAGGCACAGGGATTACAACACTTGGCCATGAAATGAGAGTTGGGCAGAGAGTGAAAGCAAAGGAGACCAGAGGCTGACTCATGCCTGGAGAATAAGGGAAGATCCCAAACCACAGCTAGAGCTGAAAGAGGAAAAAAGCCCAGGAGAAGAATATTGAGGACTGGGATGCATATGGAGCACTGGGCTTTGTGTAGAGTTGTACCACTGTTTTACAGCACAGCTGGACTAACTCTAAGGGAGACCAAGGCATGCCAAAGAGAAGGACACTGCAGCACTAGGAATGCAAGCTGATCAAATCTCTGGACGCAGAGTATTTATTCAAATGTGTTTGAAGTAGCATAGAAGTCAAGGACTGATTTGCAAATGCAACCACCTGGCCAGCCTAGCGCAGCCAAGATTATACCTGCAGCACTGGGCACTAGAGGATTTTTCTCAAGCCAGGTCTGAAGACAAGGGCAGAACTTGACCCTGGAAGTTGGATTCCAGTCAGTGCTCAGGGAAATCAGTCACCAGTAAGCCAGCAGGGATGGCAGTGGGGGTGGCAGAAGCAGTGTGAAATGCTAAAGCCTTATTAGAACGTGGAGATGTGAATGAGAGGGTTAATAGATCTGGGACAAGAGCTTTGTGACAAAAGCAGTAGGTTGAGAGTTTAACGAAGGGTTTATTTCCTGTGTAGTGGTTATAGCAGGTTTATTTCCCAAGTTACTCTCCTGGGATCAAAGCCTCAGGGATTGAGTACATTCATTTTCCTCTTGCAAATGGGACAAATGATGGCCTAAAAACAAATATGTATTTACTCTCTGCATTCCTTAGCACTTGAATAGCCATGATTAAATGAGGCTGCTTCGTGATTTGCAGCCCTGCAACTCAATTTAGTTCAGTCCTCTTGGGACAAAGTGTCTGGTGAAGCATATTATAAGCAGAGAATCTCACCAAGTTTGGAGGTCGATTGGTAGAAGCCAACAGCAATTGAGAGACCTCTGCTGAGTACACCTGTGGGCTCTGCCTCTCACCTCAGCACAGGCTCAGCCTACAGGGCCTTTAGTAGCTGTTCTGGGAGAAGGGGGAGAAAAACAGCAGAAACATCAAACAGGAGAGAGAAGGTTATAGCTAGTAGCTCTGCTGAGAGGCTTTGCTTTGTGTAACCCTTGGGACAAGGTTCAGGAGTGAGTTTTTGGTGAGGTTTCAGATTGTCTAGATCTCTGCCAAACCAACTTGTTCTTCCCTTGTACAAACAGGGCTTTTGAGAAGAGGAATAAAAGCCAAGCTGTGCTGTTTGTTGGCTTCAGGAGCAGGCTGGCCTCACTCTGCACCGGATTCATTGAATGTTTGGACATTCAATCTCTGTCCTCTCTAAATCTCCTGTAGCATCTCACTTTGTGCTGTGCTGTTTCTGTGAGGCAGGGAAGCTGGAGAGGATCAGTGGGGTGATAGGAACCATGAAGAGTTTGGAGAGAGAAGTTGCACCTCCAACCCAGTGTAGTGCTGAGGTCTCTGAGTACAAGTGGAGAGTCCCATGTGGCACAGAGTACTCACACCAGCCCAGGCACTGGAAGTGGCACAGCCATTGTGTAAGTCTGGCCCTGGCCTCCCTTGGAAAGCTCTGAATCAGAACAGCTCTTTAGATCTGGCACTCTGAAGTGACTGTTTGATTTCCAGTCCCAAAGCCAAAGGGGACCTGTCTGTCCCAGCTTACACTGCAGACTTGCCCATGGTCACAGAGAGAGTCAGTGGCAGGATCAGAGCTGACTCTTATCTCTTAACCTCAGTCTGGTGTCTAACCCCACAGTATCTTTGAACCCAAGATTGGTGGCTGTTTCCTTCATGTGAGAGAATACTACTACAATTCCATCTCTAAGGATTCTGATAGACAATTTTCCCCAAGTCATGTTGTGCAGTTCCATGTTACAACTGAACTGATCTGACAGCTTTGACCCCAGAGGGAAGCCTCACATGCCTGTTCTCACCCCGTGGTCCCTGCCACTCTTCTCAGCTGTGCACCACTTCTCATACTTCTCAGACCTTCACTGAGCTCATTCTTCTTCTAGGTTCATTTCCTGCCAGATTAGTGGGTTGGATTTGTTTACTGCAGGGACCAGTGAGTGCCAGAGCTGGTGCAGGTGCTGGTGGAGGGGTCTGTGCCCAAGAGCAGAGGCACAAGGCCCTCTTCAGTTGTTCATGGATCAGCTCAAGCATCGGCATCTAAGTTCAGCATTGACTACCAAAGTACCCCAGAGCCTGCAGTAACTGTCACACGAGAGCGGAAGAGTGATTCCTGCCCAGGAGAGGAATAAACTAGACGGATATGCAAGTTATTGTCATGCTTTTTGCAGGTTCTCCTATTAATTTCCTTCTCTAATTCTAAAGCTCAGCTGGATTAATATTTCTGTCAAGTCACCACACACACACACACACACACACACACCCCCACCCATGCATCCTCCCCAGCAGACTCTGTAACCTTGAGGCTTTTGGGAGGGTGATTATGCTGCTTACTGCAGCCACACTCCTTGGAACAGAGCAGGGACACTCTGGGCTCCAGGAGGAGCAAGCAGGGCCCCAGCAGGACGCAAGCAGTGATGGCATCATGCAGGGAGGCTCTGCTCTCCCGTGTCATCTTCCCAGGTACATACAGAAGAGCGAGTGATGAGAGGCAGGAATTGCTGCTGTCAGCGTTGCAGAGCCCAGTAAAGCCCAAAAGATTACCTCTCCTTCCAGAGCCTCATCTCTCCTCAAGATCTGTGCTACACTAGCACTCTCTCGAGCTTTCTGCACTCCAAATTCATTCCCCTTCTCCTCCTCCTCCTCCCTGAGCAGTCTATCCAGTGCCTCTTGTTCTTAAAATATATCTTGAAACTGGGTAGATACTTGCATATTCACTTGTCATTATTCTGAAGGAGCTCATGCTGCAGCACAGTTGCAAGGGGACAAGCAGGTAACACTGAAGAGAGAATCACTTTATAAATCCTGCAGAAGCACTGATGACATCACCTCTCAGTTCCTCAAACAGCCCTGCTCAACCATCAGCACAGCCCTTCTTGCCACAGCTTATCCCGTGGTCTGGTTATGCAAACACTTTGTTGTCCAACTATCAACATTTCAGCCCTTTTGTCATCAGAAATTAAAGGTGTTTGCAAAACTTAATCAAATGCAAAATGCAATCAGATTTCCTAATTGGAAAAATTTTGGAGAGCCTTGCTTCCTCCTATCATGACTGCACTAGTTGTGTGTTACCTCAGTCTGTTTAGAGATGGCCTGAGAACTGTTGTGTCCCATGTTCCTGTCACTCAAAGCATCTGGGGCTGATAACAAGGCTTACAGATGATGTACTTTATTGATTGTGTCTAGAAGGCTCTGATGTGCACCAGGCCTGGTGCCTCAGCACTGCCTCTGGGCAGTGTTTTCTGTAATCAGGGGTTCCTGGCTGGTTTGCAGACTCAGCAGGTGAGAGGAGAAGGTTAGGTGCAGCTGAAGCTAACAGAAAGGGTCCAGCTCCCTCCCTGACATACCAAAGAATGTCTGAAATAGCAGAGGCTCCCCCATCCCCACTTTCTCTGCATACCCACCCACACGTGATAGTAAATCCAAGGAGGCTGTCAGAAAATTGCAGCCTGATGTAAGCTGGCTCTCCTTCGAGCAGGGATTTGGGCCAGAGGACCCTTCCAGTTTATGTCATTCCTTGTGACTCAAAGGCTCTAACTGCTTCCATGCAGTGAGCAGCCAAGATCTGGGGAGAATGGCTGGCTCTGGACAGTGTATCCAGCACTGTGAGACAGCTGTGGTTTTATGGGCACCACATCCATCTCAATTCTAGACAAATGATTGCAAGAAACAGGTAATGTGGTGGTATAAATAATGAGTCATTCATCTCAACCAGAACATCAGGAATTTGTGTCAGTTGTTTAAGGTTATTTAATCTTTTTCCTGAAAGAATCCTGGGTTGGTTATAAAATGGAAATGTTTTCTGAATGAAAACCTAATGTCTTGCAGTGCAAATTGCCTTAACTGAACTGGTGTCGAGTAGTTTTTGTTCTTGCAGAGAAGTATTTCATCGGTGAACTTAAACTTGGCTTCCCCATGTATGCCAAAGAGAAACCCCATTTTGAAGCTGTAAAACGTGTCTTGATTTGCTGTATCAGGGATA